CCCATTGAGGGGCAGTTTGGGAAACTATGATATAGATGAAGATAGATTTGTTATATAATATTTTCTAAACAATAAGCAAATTCAAATACCATAATCTGTTGCTTAGTGTTAGGCAGCTTTAGGAAAAATTTTCACGAAAATATTCAATCACATCTGAAATCCCCTACTCAAAGCTAATTGGGTGGGTTAAGGACAATGTCACACCCTGTTATTAAATGGATTTCCATGCCCGTGAGTCACGTTCATTTTCATATCAAGTTTTAACTTTTCTCCCTTCCACATCTGCCATAACTTTCCTAAATCAAATGATATGAACTTTACATCTCCTATTACTTTGGATAAAGACCGGAAGCAGCAGTTAAAGTCGTGTTCGAACTGCACAAATTTATTTAAAGACAGAGCCCATCATCAGTTATTTTTATTTATCAAACGACCTTCAATCGGACTATTCGCTACCGTCATGTTTAGTAATTCGAATATTTTGTTTATTTTTTCGTGGAAAAACATATAGCCAATTAATGGTTTCCGCTTTTACAGATTGTAATAATAATAATAACGTAGAAAGAGATATACTGTACACCTTCCACATAGATACGCACCATACTGCATTTATTTGATTTCGATTAATAAGTGTGGTTAAAACCAACCATCAGGCTGAGAAAAACAAATCGTAAAGCAAACCCATTTAAAAATTCAAAAATAATCTTTTAGGCCGTGAGATAGGCAAGGATCTAAAATAGATATCCATATTAATAACCACGGAAGACAAAACAATAATAACAGATATGGTAGTAAGTACAAAGTTACGCTGTGATTCGTTGACAAACTGACATGGAACTCTGGCCCTGTACTCCAAAAGACGCATGATGGGAATGTATTTTCATATTTTGACATTTTGACAGTTATTGTTGCGGACGGACGTCACACGGAGAACGAGTGTAGGATATGACGAAAATTCTAGAATAAGTTGCCCCCGATTTCTAAAGTAGTAGTGTAGTGGTAAGAAGAATTATCTTGTAAATGCAGCTTCTGAACAAAACAAAAGATCAAATGAGAGAGATGATGCCGTAGAGAAATATGAACAACAAACATGTTTATGTTTGAGTAAAATAATATTAAAAATTTTGTAAAACTATGTATAATTTTTGTAGACAAATGTCTCTCCTTTCCTCTTCTTCTTACTTTATAATCCAATAATAGGATGTCAATATAGGAGCAACGTTAGAGGAAACTCGTGTACTTAATTATGTTACGAATTTCCAATACCTACACAGGAACGCTGACTATCGATAAACTCCTGAACGTGAGTTATTCACGTGTGCCATGTTACGGCTGGAAATTCCATGTATAAACTTCTTGTTTACGCACTACCACAAACAAACACGCACGCACGCACGCAAGCACGCAAGCACGCACGCACGCACGCACGCACGCACGCACATACACACACATTATAGTATTGCTCCTTGCTTGTTCCAAAGTGGCGACCACGGCAAACTGAATGAATGTAGGATGCCCAGCCCCAAGATGGAGAGTCAACGTAATGAAGCTGGCCGTCATTGGTTGCATGCGAGTGGCACGAAACCTGTGGGAGACTTGTCGTGCTCAAAGGGAGGCTATTATCAAGTGGACGCGTATAAACTCTCTTTATAAGCCCCTACAAAGTCGCTTTAGACTGCTGTAGTTAGTAACTACGGCGGTCTAAATTATCTCAACATTTTTATGCAACAAGTCCTTGGCAAATCATTGGTTACTTAACAATGCCATTTGACATTTTGTTTCTTTGACTAATAAAATAAAAGCAGACTATACACTCTTATTACTCTACATACTGTAAATTCTAAATTTATATCATGGGACATCTCAACTTCTGTTTTGTAAATCTGTCCTATCCTTGTTTAGAAACAAACTAACAGCAGTACATTATTATCGGGGAAAACATCGAAACTCAAACACGATTTTGAAAGTTTAACAGCCGAACAAATTACGATATCGTTTAGTAACTCCGATGGATAATTGGTGAAATGTTAAATCGAAATAACCTTCCGAATCATTGAACATTACGTTTAAGGAAATTGTAATTCCATGTACACACATGGAAATAATGTTCTCCAAACTTGAATCACGACCCCGGAATATCTATATGTTACTATTAAGAAAATTTTAAATTTTTTTTAGTAGTTTCACATTTTTATTAACTAATTAATTAAGGCACGACGAGCTGTCTCGGTTTGAACTAATGGAAAGTGGTTACCGCTACCTGTACCTTTACATTCGCGATGTCAAGGTAGTAATTTAAATTACCACATATTGTCGTATGTTACATATAAATGGTATATAAGTTAGTTTGTAATAAATTGTAATACTTAACATCAACTGCTGTTGAATGATATTCCAATCGGGAGATTTCTTTGCGAATCGGCGGATGTACTTATTTTGGTTTATTATTTATTCGGCTACTTCTAAATAAAATATAAATTTCCTTTTTTTTATAATATCAAGTGACGGGGCGAACAAGAGACACGCCTATCCATAACAGGTGCAGTGCTACTCGAAGCTTTAAACCGAAAATATTTAATCTGCTGCTACTGCGCCCGTCACCCTGAACCATAAGTTGACAAACCCCATATGCCCGTAATTTCACCAGCACCCTTTCCCTTCCAAACCGGAACGTATTAATGCTCACATTACTGCTCGGCGGCAGAAATAGGTAAGGTGGCAGTACTTCCCTGAACGAACTCTTTCACAAGGAGCTCTACTGCTGTCTTCTGTTATTAGTCGGTTTCTATTAATCTTACCTGTATATTAGTACAAAATTAACACTGTATTTGACCAGACAAATCCCGTTTTATGCAAATCAGAATATGTGTATGTGCTTTTATGCTCAGGCCACAAAGAGGCAGCCGCGGAAGTGTTCCGGGCGCGAGCTTTTTTGTAATGTAGGAGTTCAAATGAACCCTGGCACACTGGAACGCGCGTTCAGTTTGGGTTTGGATAGGGTTTGATTCAGAGGCATATAAACTCGTACATTACAATAATTCCCGTGCCCGGAACGCTTCCGCAGCCGCCTCTTTGTGGCCTGAGCATTAATGTTGTTTTTCTAATACATTACATGTTAATGAATTTTATGAGATTTTATACCATGTTAAAATTTGATATAATATATAATAAAATATGAATATTGCATCCTTAGTTTAATTAGGCCACGTCTGCAACATGATTACTTTCAGGATAAACACTTAAAGGTTTTGTATATAAACGAAATTAGTCGACTCCTTTCTGATACCTAAGCAGTAGAGTTATACAATTTCCCATATACCTTATTTGTTTTATGTTTTTCGTATTATTTTGATGCCTTTCGTGTGATAAAAGCAGATTTTAACACACATTGATTCTTGAAGTAGCGGTAAGGCTCCTTACCTTACCTATTTCCGCAGCGAAGCGGTAATGTGAGCATTACTGTTTCCAGTTTTCACGGGTGCTGGTGAAATTACTAGCACCTGGGACTTGTCAACTTGCGTCTAAGGGTGAAGGGCGGAGTGGCAGTGCCCCTAAAATATTTGCGATTTAAAACTCTGAGTGGCACTGCAACTGCAGGCGTGTCGCTTGCCACCAGACGCACGAATTATTCGCCCCGTCACTTGGTATCAATTAAAAAAAAGCATGCTTTAACAATAATTTTCCATGTTCTGTTGAGATAAATTATTTTATAGTCCAGAGAATAAGGAGTATTACTTAGTAGTAATCCTTAATAACTTTAAGGTTTAAGGATTTACCATAAGCTGTGTTTGTAGAAGTAGTCTTCTACAATCATTTACAAACACAGTTTATGGTAAATCCTACCTTAAAGTAATACAAATAAGCGAAATCAGTTATTAACTAGACCACAGACACTACCAGTATTTATTAGCGTTATTAATATATATCACTTCGAAGTGATAAAAGCCATTAACAAAAGCATTTATGGTGAAAACCCTGATCGCTTTCCTCACAAAGGCTGTCTGTCTATTTATCTTGCGTATCTTCTGAAGCCCTTTGTCACGTCCCTTCATTTGTCATATTTGTAACAAAACGAAAAAGAATAGAAAACTTTTTATCTCAATTTGAATGGTCATTGCACACCGGCTTTTCAATCCCTTTGAAGAAACTCGGCAGAATGTAAACCGTATTAGTAGTCTCTTTTATATATACAGGGTATTGAGTAAGGACGGAACCCTTTAAAGAAATCGTTTAGCATAGCAAACAGAATAAAATTTGACAGAAAATTTTCAGTTACTATACATAACACCCAACAATTTTGAATAAGAAAGTTTATTTTCTTTACCCCCTTTTAAATTTGCAATTTGATACCTAACTCTCGGTATACTCGCCCTTATTTGAAATGTTTACCTCTTTGTTACAATGGAAATGTTACCCCTTTTTTATTTGTTTCATTTTGTAATTTCTCAAAAAGCATTTCCTGTAAGAAGTTCATAAAGAACGTCACTTGTCTTAAAGAAATGTCAAGTGTTGGTTTGGTAATTATATTCCAATTTCAATAGCGCCTTCTACGAAATTCAATAACATTTCAATAGCTTCTACGAAAAGAGGTACACTCAGACAGACCCTCATTAGTGAAGTTTTGCCAACAATCTGCAAATTATCCCTATAGCGGTAAAAAGCACTGCAAAACTAATTACCTACGCAACGCGGAATCCTAGCTAACAGGTAGCTATAACTGTCGACGGCAGCTCGTTTCCCGGACATAAACCGGAGTATTGATTTTTTTACAATTTACCTACATAGTCGTACATACTATTATGTACACAACAGACGAGAGTTTGCACCGAAAGTGAACCCTAATGTGCCTGTTCAGTGGACTACATTGATTATATAGGATCGGCGAAACGGAGGCTTTGTTTACATAATTGGCCACTAGCAGAGGCTACGGGATAATTGCTCGATGTCGGCACCTTGAGACGGGAATTCACCTGAACCCGGCAGATGCGCCGCAGCTGCCGACCGGGCCAGTCCGCTCGTCCGCCCCCGCGCGCCGCACCTCGCCCCGCCGACTCGCGCAATCGCGGCTAACAGTTTTATTTCCCCGAATAAACTTTATCAAACAAAGCGTGTGTGCCCCGCGCCCTGCATCTGCTCGCCCAGCTGTTCCCGCTGCAGCTGGCCTCCCCGTCTCGCTCTAACTCGCTCACCTGCCGTCGCGTCGCGTGAACGAGAAAACAAGCGCCCGTGTAACGCAGCGAGACCCTTCCATTCCCTGTGAGCTTGGCAGTCTGCATCCCGCCGCCGACCGACAAGCAATGACGAGTAAACGTAAACACGAACCCGATGTTGAACGCGATTCTAAGAGTGGACGCTGTCGCATGCGTTCTCGCAGCGAACCTACGCTGCACCAGGGCGATAGTCCCCCTAAGAAAAGGCGTACCGGGCGAATTTCTGTCGACAACCAACCGGCGTTTGATGACGAGGCAGACCCTGTGAAGAATGAAGTGTTTGGTGATGAAAATGAAGACCCTCTTCTGGACTCGGTACCTGTGGATATGGATCCGGAGCAGCTTGGATTTCTGGTATGCGCTCAAGAGACTCTGCGTTTCCTGCACGGGCGTGGCATACCACCGCACCACCCAATGTTCGCGAGGCTGCGCTCGCGCCTGCTCCGGGGGATTGATGAGATGTCGGTGGCCTGAGCAATGCTGGGCCCGGAGCCCCAAAGAAACTAATCTCTCCGCACCTGACCTTCACTTCTAAACTACAGTGTTCCTTGTTTACAAAGTGTCTTTCGTGTTTTGCTTCACGTGTCTAAAAATTTCCCTTCACGTTTTCCTTCAAGGGCTCGGGTTTTTAAGAAATTGACTATGCGTACTTTGTGTGCAGTTACTGAACGGAATCAACAGGTGGCCCGGCAGGGCATTCTAGTCACTATCTAGTCAAGATTAAGGAGTATAATTAAGAGTCAATTTAATGTTAACGTCGAATTTAAGAAGACGTCCAATCAATAATTCTTGCCATTGTTATGTTGATATCTGTATATTTATTTCCATGCTGTGTTATTGTAGCTTTTAATAAATTAAATTATGATATTTAAAAAATTTTAATAGGACAATAATGAATTTTTCCTATTTAATTCGTATTGTTCCGTATGGAATAATGAACGTAGTTAGTAGTATTAATATAAATATTTAAACATTGTAACATTTACTGATTGTGTAGTATTACAAAATTACTTTGCTCTGTATTTTACTTTAAACAGGTAAAAAATTGGTTGGACATGGAATTTTTTTGTGAAATAAATGTCTATATATGAAACTACGATGTTTTTATTTCAAATTATCATTAGTATGTTAAATATAAAAGGTTAAGTGACAAATTATAAAGAAATACTCGTAAATATTTTTTTCCTTTGTACATATAAAACTTAAATCTAGACTAGACACTTTGGCGTTATACAATCAACGGTGTAAATTCCGTTAAATATTTCTAAAAATTTAAACAAAATGCTTTTCCAAAAGGTTTTATCTTGCCAAAAGTTACACTTAATTTATGGTTCGTACACAGAATTCACACCACTGTTCGTTTCACATTAAAATACATAAATATAAATTATTTAGAAAATAAATGAGTATTATTAAATTTTGGTATCAATTGACATTACAACAAAATTGGCTAATTGCTATTTAGCTACCTAAAGGTATGATGATTACACCTCTTCTCTCTTTCTTTGCATTCCTTTGCCGAGGTAGCCAGTAAACATTTTCTAACTTACGAATGACAGACAACTCAAAGGGAAATAGGTAACCTCACAAATTAAGCTATGAGTCATCCGCGTAACGATTGAAGGGGAAACCAATGATACCTGACGTACTCGTATATTTTACTTCTAGCCATATATTTAAAAAAAATGTAAAGCTTGTACAAATTTAAAACGAAATCAATAAGTATAGCCATTTGTAGCGAATCGCAAGTCACTACAAATCTTTTATAGTCTTTTTAGCAGTTTGATGTTTTTGATGTCTTTTTCTTCGTTATTGTCATCTTGTCAGTTGTATGTGTTGTTTAAAAAAATTGAAAAAGAAAAATCGTAGCAAAGACACTTAATGTTTCTCATAAAGTATGTGGGCGAATAAGTCTTACAAATTGAAGCGAAGTGAAAAGCCGCTCTACTGTAATGGCTCCGGAGAGTTTCCGATTTTCTTTCTCTTCAAGGTATTACACATTAAAAAATGTCCGAAAAATGAAATATTGTTTATACCACTCCTTATTTTCTTTTAGAAATATGACGTCATCGATGCAGTTCTTTCTTTAAGATCTTAACTGAATAAATAACGTTCTGAGAGATTTATAGAACTTATATAAGACCGACCGTCACAGATACTGATGATATCGTTCCGTAAATGATTTGCTTGATATAAAAGTTACTAGTCCTCAGGACTTCATCGAAAGTTTTTTATTGACGTCAGCAATGGTATAACCGTTTCCAACCCCTACAGTCTGTTTATATTTGTTGCATTGTAGTTCGCCAGGATATTTTTGTCACGATGTATTTTCTGTTTGAAAATTGCCAACCGTGTTTACTTGATATCGAAACCCTTACCAGGCGTTGTTTTTATATTGTAACGGATTTGATATGCATGTGAATAACGTTTCACATCTTAATATCGTACGCTTGGTACAATAAACCAACATGTGATCATCAGAAATGTTTCATCGCATGAAAGTTATAATAATAATAACGAACTACATGAAACTTCAAATTAGAGTATTTAAAAATTGAATATTAAAACTAAGAAAACTTTGTATGCCATAAGGCGGATCACAGTGATTCAAAATTCATTCTTGTTCTATCCTGTGTATCACAGAGAAATAAATGATTTGATTTGAATATTTTATGTGACTTGGGTATCATCATGACAATATAATCATAGCTTTAAGTTTAAATTGCATATATTTGTGATAATTTTATCAAAAATTTCAACAAAAAGGTAGTATGATAAACAGCTGAAACCTTTTTATCTACATGCGCTACTTCAAAATAACGACAATTTAGCCTTAAATAATGTTATTTAAGGCTAAATTGTTGTTATTTTAATGAAGATAAATAAAGCTCTTTATTATTATTATTACTATTAAATGCGAATTGTTAATGTGCCATTTCAAAACTCTCCTATTTAAGCATAAACCTTTTATCGACTAATTTCGTTCATAGAATATTTAAACGTCTTTCCTGAAATGTTGTAATTTTGCACATATGACTTTATTACACCAAGAGTGCGAAAAAACTTTGCACACGAGAAAATTTACTTCTAAGCTAATGCAGAAATTTCCCCATATCAAACATTTCCACTGACGTATCTAATATTGGATCCTCTGTAGGCGTAATCTATTAGCAACTTGTTGATTTGCTCCTTGCTTATTATATCGCGGTATTTTGGATCCTTTGCTAAAATCTCCAGTAACGTTCTGTGGAGGATGTGAGCTGTAATATTGCTCGGTCTTGGAGATGTATTTTGTTCTTGGGGTGGATCAGGTATCATTCTGAAACAAATTTGCATATTAAATTATGGTACTTATTTTCACTTTTCCTTGCGTACAGGGGCAACGAAACGCGGTATCTACAAATAAAAACTGTCAGTTTTCTATTATACACTTTTAAACACTATTTAATTTAAAATTATATTAATAACTATTTTTTTATAACAAGTTAGCGGCATGCTTGTCCATAACAGGTAAAGTGCCTCTTAGGATTTTAAATCGCAAAGATCCGAGGGGCACCGCCACTGCGCCCGTCCCGTCCCAACCCAAGGATATAAGTTAATAAGTCACATGGGCCTGTAATTCACCAGCACTCTTACCCTTCAACAACAATAAAAAACCGGAATAACGCTCACATTACTGCTGGTGGCAGAAATAGGTAAGGTGGTAATATTTCCCTGGATGAACTCTTTCACAAGGAGCAAAATAGCTAGTATTTAGTGCATCATCAACCCTTTTATACATCCCACTGCTTGGGCACGGGTTTCCTCTCAGGCGAAGGTTTAGGACATTGTCCGCCACTCTGGCCCAATGTGGATTGGGAACTTCACACGTTTTCCGACGGTTGTGAACCTTCTTCGATCAGCAGGTTTCATCACGATGTTTTCCTTCATCGAAAAGCAACTTCCGAGAAACTCAGAGATGCGAGCCCGGATTCGAACCCACGACCCTCTGCTTGAGAGGCAGTAGGTCAAACCATCAGGCTACCACGGAGAGTATTTAGTTATGTTATTAGTACATATATATATATATATGATATTCAATAAATAAGTATAGCTATCAATTTGTTAATAAAATTAATATTTAAACAAAGGTCGTATCTAAATTATCTCCTGCTAACATCCTTTCAGTGCGGCCAAGCCACCTCTAGTAAATCGGTCTTGTGAGCCTAGTTACCGACGTACAGTGAGATAGCCTTCCCAGTACACTCTTATGGCCGCCGCGCGATGACCGTCCTGTTACCACGCCTTCATGTACATTAATGGCGAATCTGAATTCTATTTATTATGGAACAACATTTAAATTCCTCTTAACAAAATTACCGCGCGCGAGACGCGCGAGCCGCCGCGTAGACCAAATTCAAGCCAGGTTAGCCCACGTGCCCGGAACGGTCATTTAAATTAAAACGTAAATGCTAAACAAATAGAGCCTATTTTACCATGACAATTAGACGCACGCGGTCGCCGCGCGGCGGCAACTCGGACACCGCTCTTTGACCGCGCGGGGTGAGCGCGATGAAATTCGTATCGAATAAATGCACCCTTAGTGTTTAAGGGTTGTCTATGCCCTTATATAATATTTATGTACCGTTTATTTAGACAACTACATTTTCAAAGTCATACACATTAGAAGTAGTAAAGCTCCTTGTGATATAGTTCTCCCAGGGAAGTACTGCCACCTAACCTATTTCTGCCGGCAAGTATTACTGGTTCTGGATTTGAAGGGTAAATATGCGTTGAGTCACCAGACATTACAGTCACATGGGACTTGCCTGCAATGCCCCTCACATTTTTGCGATCTAAAGCTCTGAGTAGTACTGCAGCTGATTTGGACAGGCGTGTCACTTACCACCAGGCGCACGACTTGTTAGTCGCGTCACTTGATATCATTAAAAAACACTGACACTACATGCAAACTTTATGGTTTTTTCTACCTCTTTCCTCTAGAAAGAACACCTCATTGCAAATGAGATTTTTAATTCAAACTCGACACGATAATCTAGGTCAAACATCTCACCGAGAGAAATAGGGAAATAATGAGAAACAATCAAAGATCTTCCGCTAAGGCAGATGTTGTATTATTTACAATGACTACATTCATTGTCTCTATAATAACAAACATTAAATACAATCTATGACTGATACCAATGTAATGACCAAGATCAATAGATACATACTACACACACTGTCATATTTAAACTGCACTCCAACCTGTATAAATTTAAGATGTAGTCAACAGGACATCAAACTTTACAATTCTATAGTTGCACCCCCCTTTCCAACTCTTACATTTCTATCCTAATGTTGCCTGGTAGAAATTGCTACTTAGCAATAAGGTCACCTGTTGTACATTGGTTTACTCTGTGATACTTACATTACTGTTTTGTGTTGTCATTGTAATTTTAACGCGCAATAAAGAATATTTAATTCATTCATTCAGTCATTAAATTTGGACTTTGCACCGTCCTTATCATAAGCAACATAGAGTTGAATTTAACTCTAGAACATAATTTGTATCTACTTATTTAGGGACTCACCACATTTATTCACACGGAATCGCCTTGAACCGTTGAGAAAAAACTTTATGCCCATGTAATAAGAGCCAAAGTGAGGTTGTGCATATCGCGTCGGCGATCCGAGCCGAAGGAAACACGCAACGTTTTTTCGCTCTTATTGAATGGACATAAAGGCTTTTCTGCAATGCGAATCCGTGTCGATCAGTGTAGCGACCCCTATTAGCGCTATTATTACGACAAGGTTGTTATATAAAATTAGTGGATACAGAATATTTAGAAATAACCTCACATCATTGAAATATGACATTAACTAACCAGGTACAATAACCGGTAAAAATATTAAGGAAAACTATGTCTCTTCCTTACTACATGGCCGCTTTAAAACTTGGCGATCTAGTCTGTATCACTCGTCAATTAATAAAGGTGATATTGAA